CTTTACCGGGAACAAACCGGAGATGCCGGGGACGAGATGTGTCTAGGATGGTCCCAGGAGAGGTGAGGCATCAGTACACGAAGTCTGGTATAATTAATAGTTACTGGGGGATATTTCAGGGCATACCAGACATAGACCCACGTACACACTCTTAGTGTTGATGAGGAGGAGGGCAACAAAAACTCAAAAATTAATATTCACAACAGTAAACAATGTATACCGGACTGCTACTACTACTAATACTACTACCACTACTACTGATACTAATAATAATAAGAAGAATAAAGTATAAGTGACCACTTCAGCTCCGCCATTTTAATTTTGTACATTTGCCGACTGGAACTTACTTTACCTTTTATCGAGTGTAAATCCGGCGAGGAGGGGGAGAGGGGTTGGGAAGGAGGGTGAGGGTAGGAGGAGATGGGTGGGGGAGAGGGAAAAGGAGGAGAGGGGGGAATAGGACGCGGAAAGACAGAGGCAGAGGAGGTTGGGGAGGGGGGAGAGGGGGTTGGGGAGAAGGGGGGAAGAACAGAGAAAAAATGGACTTGGACTCTCTTTACGAAGCATAACCACACCCACCTAAACTATCCCTAAGTTGAGTTTGGTTTGGTTAGGTTAAGTTTGGTTTAGAGGTCTCGTATGATGTACTCAACGACTGAGACACTAGTATGCATTCTACTCTTGTAAACAAACACCGCAGTGGTGATCCCGTTAGAGACAAACAGAACCATGACCGAACTCTTGTTTATAAACACTGATTAACTTCACCCCCCCTCCACCCACCCACCACACACACACACACACACACACACACACATACACACTCATTCATTACTAGTTATTTCTTATACAACAGTCCAGATCCGGACCTTGAAGTGTGACCATGAGTGTGGATATATGTTGAAATCCAAGAGACAAACAACAACAGACAGAGAGACAGACACGCAACGATTACCAGAGTGTGTCCGAACAAGGGTCTACCCTAATCCATCCCAATGGCGCCGACTACCATGCTTCCTTCTGCCTCCCAGGAGCTCTTAGGCGAGACCCTGAGGCGGGAGGGTATATACCTACTGTCACGTCCTATCACCCGAGACACACACACACACTGGCCTTCATATATTCCTTACATAACACAATGATCCTTCCGTATAGTAGAGCGACCTCCTTTTCAGCACCCAACTAACTGTCTGCCACCCGTCACAAAACAACATTCCGTCCACCTATCTCTTTCACTCGTCCTGTACATCTCTCTTACAATTCTTCCATTATGATCTTGGTTATTGTTTTTGTTACTCTTGGATATCTTAACTTTATAATCTGGTATCTATTCATATATATATATATATATATATATATATATATATATATATATATATATATATATATATATATATATATATATATATATATATATATATATATATATATATATATATCATTTTCTTAATTTGATAGAAGAGACAACTGTGTATAATAATAATAATAATAATAATTAACGGTTTATTGAAAGAGCTTGGCAGCCAGAAGGCTGAAAATTTACAGTTACATATTTGGGGAATGGGTTACGAATTGTGTGTGTGTGTGTGTGTGTGTGTGTGTGTGTGTGTGTGTGTGTGTGTGTGTGCTCGTGTGTGTGTGTGTGTGTGTGTGTGTGTGTGTGTGTGTGTCTAAACAGGTGTAGTACCAGAATCCTGGAGGATAGCGAATGTAATACCGATTTTCAAGAAGGGGGATAGATCACTATCCTCTAACTACCGCCCAATCAGTCTAACATCAATAGTAGGCAAATTACTGGAAGCAATCATTTCAAACTCTATTCGAAATCACCTGGAGAAGCACGGATTGATCAATGATTCCCAGCATGGCTTCACAAGCGGACGTTCTTGCCTAACTAATCTATTAACATTCTTTTCATCAGTTTTCGAATCGGTGGACGAGGGGCACAATTATGATGTGGTATATCTCGACTTTAGCAAAGCCTTCGACAGAGTCCCCCACGAAAGACTAATTAGAAAGGTAGAAGCTCATGGCATCAAAGGTAACATCCTTAAATGGATTAGGGCGTGGTTACAGGACAGGAAACAGCAAGTGAGCATTAACGGCACTAAGTCCCATTGGAGCAACGTCACAAGTGGAATTCCCCAAGGTTCAGTACTTGGACCATTATTATTTATTATATACATAAACGACATAGATATCGGCATAGACAGCAACATAAGTAAATTTGCTGATGACACTAAAATAGGACGTGTTATTAAATCTGACGAGGTTCAGCAAAACTACAGGAAGATCTAAACAAATTTTTCGAATGGTCTGAAAAATGGCAGATGAAATTCAACGTGGACAAATGTAAAGTACTCAGTATAGGAGATGTAAACAGGGAAACCAGATACCAGATGAACAACGATGCCATAGAGAAATCCGACTGCGAGAGAGATTTAGGAGTAATGATAAGTAGGAACCTTAAGCCAAGTAAACAATGTGTTTTTGCTCGTAACAAGGCTAATAAAGTATTTGGGTTCATACAAAGGAGTGTTAGTTACAAGACTAGCGAGGTCATCCTAAAACTGTATCTTGCTCTTGTGAGACCACACCTGGATTACGCAGTTCAGTTCTGGTCACCGTATTACAGAATGGATATAGAATCCTTGGAAAGAATTCAGAGGAGAATGACAAGACTAATCCCGGGCATTAGGAACCTTGAGTATAGAGACAGGTTAAAGCATCTTAATTTGCACTCCCTCGAGAGACGTAGAGCGAGGGTCGACCTGATAGAGGTGTATAAGTGGATGTCAGGGCTAAACAAAGGGGACATTACAAAGGTACTCAAACTATCCAACCAGGAGCGAACTCGTAACAATGGTTTTAAATTGGACAAATTTAGATTTAGGCGTGAAATAGGTAAACACTGGTTTGGAAACAGAGTAGTGGACGAATGGAACAAGTTACCAAATATCATCATTAACTCGAATACGCTGAATAGCTTCAAACATAGGTTGGATGCTTATATGAGCTATAGGGGTTGGGTGTAAACGGGACTGCCCAGTATGGGCCAATAGGCCCGCTGCAGTTTCCTCCATTCTTATGTTTTTATGTTCTTATGTAAAGTATTCTCTCACACTTCTCACAAGGACGACAGGAGTGAGGGTGATGAGAATCTACAATGAAGGGGAGAGGAGAAGTTGGGGAGGATGGGTAGGGAAGGAGATGGGGAGGCAGGAAGGTTGACCTGGTGTGGTGGGTAACGCTAAGGAGGAGGAAGGAAGGAAGGAAGACGGAGGTGATGGGGTGACGAGGGGTACAGGTAGAGCTGCCTTATCTCTCACAGTCACCATCAGATCACCGCTGAGTCTTCAACTGATAAAACCACTCATCACCATCTCTCTCTCTCTCTCTCTCTCTCTCTCTCTCTCTCTCTCTCTCTCATCCATCTTTATCTCTTAAATCCTCTTCCTCAATTATCAACACTTTAAAAAAAAAAGTTCTCCCAGTTTCTCTTCTTCTCTAATAACAAACACTGATATCTGTGAACAACTCCTCTTAACTGGGAGCGTTCAGGCGGCCAACAAGAGAAGCTTTATTCGTCTCAATGGTAAATGGTCATTAATCTCTCTTAACAAGTACCTCTAACTCTTCATAAATTAGGGAAGAAATACCTCCCCCACCCCCAAGGTCTTGAATACTTGCCCCTCCCTCGCCTGTGTGGTCTTCCTGTGGTCTTGTAGTAGTGTACTCTCTTTGTTGAGGAGGTCGGGCTGGTGGCTCTCTCTCTCTCTCTCTCTCTCATGCTTATCAACCACATATGTCTGCCTCTTTCATCTTCTTCTTCTTATCAGTCACAGGTGTTTCTCAACTCCACCCCAGGTAACACTTAAACACGGTAGTGATTATCCTGTATATGCTGTTAAACATTATTATTATCATCATCATTATCATTATCATTATTATTATTATTATTATTATTATTATTATTATTAATATTATTATTATATTATTATTATTATTATTATTATTATTATTATTATTATTATTATTATTATTATTATTATTATTACCCAACCATTAATTACCGAGCAGGATATTATTGTCGGTCCTGCCTGTCTGTCTGTCTGTCTGTCTGTCTGCCTGTCTGAAATAACTCGAACCATTTATAGGTGAAAAACTCCTTCCATACCTTCACCTGAGTCACCTGAAATTTAGTGCCCCCCATGGTGTCACCTTCCAGTCACCTCTAACTCTCTCAGGGGAACTTACCTGTCCCAGAAAAACACATACCAACACTTGCATCACCAGACACAAAACCCACCCAATACATTTATTTCGTCTTGTGCACTCCTACGATACCTGTTACCATGGCATTATATAACTGTTAGCTATCATTTTATATACCCGTTATCATTACTTTACATATCTGCTATCATCATCTATTATTATCTTTTATATACCTGTTATCATTATACCCGTTATCGCTTTATATTACCTGTTATCATTACTGTATACCTGTTATCACCCAGTTATGTTTCCTACGGTTATCCTGAAGCAAGAAGGTGTGGGGAGCCTAGTTGCCTAATTTTCCTTCGTGTTGTAATGATCTGTTATCATTAGTGACTTTCATATCTTAATAACAGTTGTAGTTTGCGATTTCCTTTATATATCTTTCGGGTTTGTGGACAGTTGTTGCGGGTTTATGCTATTTAACTCCCATGCTTTCGTACATATATCCTTTTTTTCCCCTATGCGCGGAACTGCTAATGCCCATAACAATAATACTTCTGAAAGGTGACGACATCTTTCACGGATGACAACACGACGAGGCAAACGTTTACTCCACACAAGGCCACTTAACAAATTTCTACTTCACTCTCAAGATGTAATTAAATAAGATAAAAAATGTAAATATATAAACAAATAAATCTACCCTGTAATGAGTGCTATGTCGGATAAAATTAATAGATTTGAATAAAAACCACAAGACACAACGAACACAAACAACTCACCCACACGATCGCCGTCAACCCTCGACCTTATTTCCCCAACCAATCACATACCTGTAAAAGAGAGAATATATACATTAACAAACACAAACAAACAATAAATATACTAAAAACAAATAAATAAATATAATAAACATAAAATAAAAGCCAAATTTAAACATAATCTAGAATCACTGCCAATTGTAAAACTAATTTGCTCACGTTTTCCTCCACATAAATATTTGGTAAAGTTACGGAGAATTTTTTTATTATGTTTTTATGTGCACAACCTTCGTATATTTTAAGCCTTTTTGATTTTCTGTCTCGGGCTTAAACACGAAAAGAAAGAAAGAAAGAAAGAAAGAAAGTTACGAACGCACCTAAAAACTGAGTTAAACTATTTGGGAGGAGGAGGGGGAAGAGGAGGGGGGCTGTTAAATTACTCACTCACGATCCATACTCCCACACACACTGCTACTGTACTGCTGTCGATGCTGTATTGGGCTCTTCTTCCATTTACTCTTCTTCTTCTTCTCTTTCCTTAAGTATTCTGTTAACTGCGCTGGTCTTGGTAGTCCTGTCGTTGCTACTTACTGCTTCTACTGCTACTTACTACCGTTACTATTATTACTGTTGCTACTTACTAATGCTATGATTACTATTGAACCTACTACTTCCTACCAATATACTATTACTGCTACTTACTACTGTTGCTACTTACTCTACCTATCTACCACTATTATCTACCACAACTACGGCTGCTGCTGCCACTACTACTACTACTACTACCACTACTACTGTTACTACGACCACTATAAGTGGGCAACATGGAACTTCAACGTATTTTGTTGAGAGAGAGAGAGAGAGAGAGAGAGAGAGAGAGAGAGAGAGAGAGAGAGAGAGAGAGAGAACAGCATCTACCTAGTGTTCTCAATTACACAAGTGGTCAACCCTCAATCATCCACCCCGTGTATCCTGCCTAACCCATCCTTATGACGTCAGTGGGGTGTACTCTTTTTTTTAATTCACAGCTTAATGACGTCATAACCCGTATTTCTTTCTAAATGACGTACTAACCCATATTTTCTTCCCCCTTGAGGCCACAACCCGTATTGTCTTCCCCAATAACGTACTAACCCATATATTCTTCAACAATGACGTTATCGTCCGTGTTATCTCGCTTGCTATTACTCAACCAGTACTCCTGAGTTTACTCAAGCCGTTGTTAATTGAATCGTCGGTGTAACATAACCCGGGCCCCAGTGACGGTCTTAAATCTCGTAAATTCTCGGAGATTCACACGTTACATCACACCTCTAACTGGATGGTCTGTTTTCGACTAAATATCTTAAGTTAAGGTAGATTTTAATATAAGATCTTTTGAGAATCATGTCTCAAGGGTAGCAATTCTAAAAATAAACAAATAAATAAATAAATAAGTAAATACATAAATAAGAAAATAAATACATCAATCAATCAATAAATAAAATCGTGCTGTAAGTTTTTCCCGCCTAAAGAGTGATATGAGAATTCAACTTAAGTGAGTGACGTAAAATTTAAGGTGGATTCTCACATGTCTGTACGCTTGGTTTTTTAATGTAATATATGATAGCGTATGTAACTGGTTAATTTATGAAAAAATGGCGTCGAAATTATACCAAGACTATTGAAACTAGATGTGTCCTTATCCCAGTTACGGTTAAAAATATATGTAATCCTACGAACCTTTGGTAATCTTGAGTCAGACGAAGTGAAATCATGAGACCAGGTCGGTGGTGGTAATGTTTAGGTCTGGCCAGGAAGGTGATTAGCATTAATGGCTGATACTGAGGTGATAATACTGACAGACGGAGATAATTATGATCACCTACAAGTACCTGCCAATCGAGTCATGTCATTAGTTTTACCGTTAATGAGTTTGTGTAGGTAAGAACTACTCTCGTTTGTTAACAGGTTAAGTTCAGATATTTTTTCAGGTGTGGTTCGTATTAATCCAGAAATCTTTACAAACATGACTTAGCCGAGGTGTGGTACGTTCTGTATGTATCAGTAACTAAAGATGTTTCCTTGACCTATTCCATTCAAATAAGGCGTCTCTGAAACCGAATTTTTTACATCTCCAGGTGAACCCAGGCGTGAATTTCCCGCCAAAAGTAGCAGCTGTGGTTCAACTCGTGCGGGAAATGACAATCATGGCCAGCACGTCACTAATACGCGCTTCCCCTGACCCGCCACCTGCCAGCCTTGCCACACCACACCTACCAGCCCTGCCACACCACACCTACCAGCCCTGCCACACTCAAGATATTTCCTGGAACTATAGGAAGGTGTCAGAAGAAGTCACGGATAACTTAGGCGCTAGATATTTGTGACAGAATCTTCCTCAATCTTACCTAAAAAGTGTAAGTGGTCCCTCAGGCCATGCAATACTAAGCCTTGGTACGAGAGGAGGCAGTATGGCCCGGCACTGCACTCATCACCTTCACTTCTCCAACTAAAGGGACGTACCATGAGGGTGTCAAGGGCGTGAAGCTAAATATACAGACTACAGTATAATGTGATCCCCTAAACTGTGCTAACAATGAATTACGATTAAAAGAAATGAAAGGTGATGGGATTTTATAATGTGTATCAGTGTGGCGGTGGTATTTTGTTCAGTCGCAATCTACCGGGTGAGATTTTATACAATGGGATACTGCTGAGGCATTTTATCTGATTGGGATTTAATCAGTAGAAAATTGCATAAGGGGATTTTGTCTAATAGGATTTTATCTTAAGTAATTTCAACAAGTGGAAGACAAACTACAAATTCACCAACACACTAACACACAGACTATAACCCTCGCCAACTGCACGCCGCTCAAACAGAAAGATCATTCACTAATTAACTAATGACCGACCACAAGAGAACACTGTATTTCCTCGCTCATAAATCTCATTAAGAAGTTGTACTCACGAGGCAACATTCCGCACCAAGAGACTGTGAATGCATCCATCGCCCAGCCATGATATAACACAAGGGGTATAACCTCGAGCCGCCCCCCCCCCCTCATCTTTCTGTTTGTTTACCGTGGCGCCTCACTCAGAAGGACCTACGTGACCCCCTCCCTTGTCTTGCTATCGTACTCTGACCCTTGACAGTTGTTGTACTTCAGGGCGATATTTTCGTACCTTCCCAGATTGATTTCTTTATCTTCACTCGTTTAAAAGACAAGTTGAGTAAACGTATCAGGGATAGAGAGGGAGATGAAGGAGGATTAAAAATGAGAGATATAAAAAAGTGAGAAGAAACGGGAAAGGTGATCGAGGAGAGGGTAAAAAAAGGGACTGAAGAAGGATTGGCTATATATACATCCATCACGTCTCTTACTAAAACCACAATATCCTGTACAAGAACAAAACTTAAATCAACACCACACAGGACACACTAGATCACGTCTCTTTACATTCCCGTTACACGAGCGCAAAATCAAGGTATCTATGACGTGTTGGTAACGAATTTCTTCCTCCATCACAAAAATCTTCCACCTTTACAGAACCAAACTTTTCACCCGAGTGTATCAAGGAGCCAGCAAGCAGTAAATCACCGACCAGCCATAGGATCCGGGAACTGGGGGTCGGGTAGAAGTGGTGGGAGGAGAGGGATGGCGGGAGGGAGGGAGGAAAGGAGGGAGAGATACGGAGGGAGGAAAGGGGGGAGAGAGACAGAGGGTGGGGGGAGACAGAGGGGGGTGTCACTCTTCCCCCCTCCCCTCCACACACACAAGAAATATAAGGGTGGCAATAATACCTCGTGATGAAGGCGTCCCTGGGGAACCATTCACGCCAGGGAGGTGTTCGCTCTGACCCTCAAACCCCCTGTCATCCACACCTCGGCTACCCGGTTGGCTTTCGGGAGCATCTTAATCTACGTCAGGAAGGTGGTGAAGGCGGAGATTTTAACAGGATGTGAAATGGGGGGTCGTGGGAGACCTTTGAGGGCGTATCTACAGGTGGAGGGACGAGTCTCTGGTTGTTGAATACGGGTGTCTGGGAGCTGGGTGCTGGGGGAAGGTTCTTAGGGGGACTTCCACAAACGTCTACAGCTTTTGGGGAAATTTCTGTAGGTTTAGGTGTGGGTGTGTGTGTGTGTGTGTGTGTGTGCAAGTTTAGGGTTGGATGTGAGTGACGGGTAGTGGTGAGTGTGACGGGTAGTGGCACGTACTAGAGACACACACACACACACACACACACACACACACACACACACACACACACACACACACAGGATAAAAGGTAGGACTAGTAGCAAGATAATGCATCACCACCAACTTGGCTTAAGGAGATCCCCAATTACTCGACCTCTCACAGCGGCGTCACGTTCACTTAGGAGACGCCACCTTCATCTAGGAGACGCCACGTTCACCTAGGAGATGCCACGTTCACCTAGGAGATGCCACGTTCATCTAGGAGACGCAACGTTCACATTGGAGACGCCACGTTCACCTCACATCAACGAAAGAAGTGTAACGGAGAGGAGAAGAATTATTACTTTAATCATTATATTACAACTGCTCTTATTACTTTAAAATTCATTCATAATTAATAAAGAGCAACGAAATTAATAAACAAAAATATGACGTTATGATTTCTTACACAAAATAAATACAATAAAGAGCTCCTTCCCAGACTGGGTGAGATATAAATATAATCCCAATAAGGTAATATAATGCACGGAGAGAGAGTGTTGAGGGAAAACGTGTTATTGTTTACCTTGACAATACCACAACACAGCCCGCGAGTGACGCCAGCCCGCCAGCCAGCCTCATATAATAACTGTCAAGAGCCTGTGGGGTGAGGACGTGTCTAGGTGTGAGTGTCTTGGTCCCAATTTCCCAAGATGTGTCCCGCGACCCAAGATGTATCCCGCGACCCAAAATGTGTCCAGCGACCCAAGATGTGTCCCGCGACCCTCTTAAAACTTCCCGGTGTGACGCTGTTATTCCAGAGATTTCAGATCAGTTGTAAATATATTTTCTACATACAATATTTGGGCAACATGGATATAAAATTACGATAGCCTTAGCCTGGAGTCT